ATTTATTTTATAAAAATTTTAAATGTAAAATTAATTTTATTACCATTTTAGATTGTCCATATCCACCAGCATTTTCTGCTATTGAATATACACATTCATTTGTTCATCTTTGGATTGGTGGACATATGGAACCACCTGAGCAATCCTCAAATGACCCCGTCTTTTATGGCCTTCATGCATTTGTTGACCTTATCTGGGAGTTATGGCGACAAAGTCAACAAACACGTTGGACACGAGAAAATGTACATTCGAATAAATTAAATATCAATTATCAATTTATCACAAATATTAACTCTCATTCTAATTGATAACAAAAAATTTAAAAGAATTTAAAATTGAATAAAATTAAACTTTTTTTTTTTACTAAAATTATGAGAAATAATTTGAATGAAATGCATTAAATGTATGAAATTGAAGAAAGAGAGAGAAAAAAACTATATGTATAAAGAAAGAGAAATTTTAAAAATTTTTCAAAAATAATTTAATTTATTGAAAATTTTAAATTTTTAGCAATATTCGCAAGATATTGAACAATGTGCCGATCCACAGCACTTCAGTTATGCTATTATGCGACCATTTAATTTGATTAATCGTGATGGTTAGATTAATATTTTCAATTCTCTTTTTTTTTTGCAAAATATTTAATTTTTTTGAAAGATTAAAGTTTATTATTTAATAATGCTAACATTAATAAATAATAATAATATTAACTATTATTATTTATTAGAAAAGATAGCTAAAATAAATTATTTTATTCACTTGTTTATTTCATTTATAAGTTTAAAATTTAATAAATATGATTTCAAAATTTTTAATCTGAAAAATAAATTAGACATTAAATGATGAAACATTAATTTACTGAGTTTTTTCTTTTTTTTAAATCTTTAATTTTGTTTGAATTTTTTCATTTTTATTAAATTAAATTTTTAGCTCTTTTTTGGTTAATCTCTTAGAAATAATATTGTAGTAATTTCTGAAAAGTTACACCTTGTTTAAGTGATTTCCGGAAAAAAAAAAAGGACAATTCAAATGCTTTAAATGATTTCCGGATAAAATTGATTTAAGTGCTTTTCTGGAAAAAAATTAAATGATAATAATTGTTTTATTAATATGTTGATTAATAGTTTATATTCTCAGATTTTTAAAGTTCTCTTTTTTTATCTATTATTTTTATTTATTATTTAATTACTAATTTAAAAAAAAAATATTTTGATTCCAAAGTTACTGACTGATAAATTTGTGTAAAAATATTGCTACAAATAAAATTTAATAATAGAAATAATTATTCATAACAAAATATGAGTGATACAGCAATTGATAATACTAATGATAATAATTTAACTGATAACAATAATATCAATAATAAAATTAAGTTTTATTTTTTCAGGTTTATCAAATTTGTACACCGAACAAATGTACCGCTATGCACCACGACCAGGTTGCAGTTTTGAAATACCAACCTGTGGCTCACCTTATCTCTTCTGTGATGCGCGAATTTCACCGCATTGTGTTTCTAAAATTAAATTTGGCGGTGTTTGTACCGGTTTCGAAGGACTTGATGCATGCTTCAATGGTATTTGTGTTGCTGGAAGATGTATATCAGGAATTATGCCAGCTGTAATATTTTTAAAATTAAAATTAATTTCAATCATTTAATTCTGTTTAGAAAGTGAAAAGTAAAAAAAAAAAGAAAAATGAAAGCAAAAGAAAAACAATAACAAAGAAGAAAGAAAGAAGAAAAAAAAATGTAAAAATTTTTAATATTTAAAAATTGATAATAACTTTTCAAATTATAAAATGTTACTTCTTGCATTTTAAATAATTTTCTCATTTAGTTCATTCACTAACATTTATCCATTTTATTCATTTATAATTTATTTGATATATTTATATAAATGCAAATATTTTAACACATATATTTATTGCTTATAATTTAATAATAAATAAGTCAAATTTTTTATTAATTAAAATAGCTTAGATTTAATTTGAATTGAGGAAAATTATTATCACTCTAATAGTACTAAAAATTATTTAATTAATTAATTTCTTTCCATTTTTTATATTAAATAAATTTTTGCCCACCCAAAAAAAAAGGAAAAAAAAATGACAAACAACCATGAAAATGAATTTTATATTTTATAGCCATTTGTACCACAAACTGAATTACCCTCAACACTTCGTGGTGAAATTACCCGACAATATGCTTCCCGGCAATTTACTGATTGCTTCAATCGAATGCCATGCTGTGAACAATGGGCTAAAGATGGTGACTGTCACACAAATAAGTCACCGATGGTTAAATTTTGCGCCGCAGCATGTGGCAAATGTCGCCCTTCATTTAATGTTTCAGATGGTATCGAATTTTTAAAACTTTTTTAAAGTTTTTTTTTTCTGGCAGAAATTTTTTAAAAAAGTTTTTTTTTTTTGGAAAAACCCAAATTAACTTCAAACATAACATTTAAAACTTTTTCAATTTTTCAAATTAACTTCAAACATAAATTTAAAATAAAACTTTTTTTTCCTTTGGGTGCAAAAAAAATTTAATCAAATTTATTTCAAAGCATATACTAATAAACAGATTAGCGTTAATATTTGAGTGATAACAAATGATAAGGATTGATTAGGGAAATTTTTGTATGTTTCAAGAATGTGCTGATCGACATGTATCATGTAAGCAATGGAAAAGTGAAAATCAATGCTTTGGAAATTCCGGAGATTTTATGGCTGAAAATTGTCGCACATCATGTGAACTATGTGAAAAGCCGAAAAATACAGATTGTCAAAAGCGAAAAATTGTAAGTTTTGAAATATTTTAAAATTGTTTTTTTTAAATTAAAAATATTTTTTCGCGGTGCTAATTAAAATTTAACATATATAAGTAGGTGATTTCTTTAAGATAAAGGAAAAAAAATTATTTCTCGATGATATTTAATTGAAATAAATTTTTAATTTAAATGTTAATGAAACATTCTTAAATGCACTTCATCGTATCTATTACTTAAATTTCATTTTGATAGAAGTAAGTGTTAATTTTTTGGTAATTAAAAAAAGTTTTTTAAATTTTAATTTCCATTTTTTTAATCTAAAAAAATAATTAATTTCTTTTGATATTTTCACGGGAACTATTCGTAATTATCAGTTATTACAATGAAAACAAAAATGTTACCAAATTGATAAATCAAAAAAGATTATTTATGATGAAAATATACTATTTAAATTTGTATTTAAATAACTTTTAAAATTTAATTAGAAATTTTACAAAATATTAACAATTAGCAAGGCGAAATTATAATTAGATTTGGAGCAAAATAAAAATTAAAATATAACATTTAAATTTGTATTTAAATAACATTTAAAATTTTAAACTTAAATTAACTTTTAAAGTTTAATTTCATTTGTTAAAACAGTTTGTTTTTACAATTTAAAATAATAAAAGTATGTTTTTAGCATTTAAAAAAATTTATGCAGTCAAAATTGCATACATCAAACAAAACTGATAATGTCAAAGCATCAAATGAAACAAATCATGGTGACAAGAATACTGTCGAATAATTTTTTACAAATTTACACCAAAATTAGATTATCAGCGATTAATATTTTTTTTTTAATTCAAAATGTAATTTATAAATAGTTTATTTAAAATATATTTCATTGAGAAATGAAAAAAAAATTAAAAAACAAAAATAGTTCATCGCATGTTTTTTTTTTATTTTTCCTAATTTTAAGTAAAAGTTATATTTGCTCAATAAATCATTTAGTATAACATATTTCTTTAGAAAAAATTAATAATTTTTAATCAGATCGTATAAAACTTTTTTAAATTATATTTAATAAATTATCATCTTGCATATATAATTATATATATATAATTAGGATGCAAATATGGTATTGCTTGTTTGTTTGTTTATTTATTTATTTGTTTGTTTGTGTAATTTTTTAAATGTCATTTTTGTTTGTTTCTTTTATTAAAATATTATTTAATTCTTTTCATTACTATATCAGAATTGAATTGTTCAGGGTTAGATTTGTTTTAGTCAAAATTGCTACACTACTGTAAATCAGTTGTTCTATAATATTGCATATTGTTTTTTTTTGTAAATCAAATTGTACTTTTAACTTTATACACTAACCAAATTTCAATATTATATATTGTAATTAATTAAATTATCGCTATTTGTGTAATTTCATTTCCAATTAATTTTAAGTGCCAAATAAGCATTGAAATCATTGATGGAAACCTTTCATACATTCTATTTTATGCTAATTTCAATTTTTTTTTAATTATTATTATATTCATTTAACAAACAAAAGAAAAAAATTCTTTTCAAATGATTTTACATTTCATAAAATGTGAAATCATTTTTAAGTGAAAAATTTGATTGAAATTAATAAAAACAAGACTAGGCTTAGGCTTAGGCTATTTAATAAAAGTAAAATTTAAAAAAAAAATTAATGATTAATAAAAAATTTATATTTAATGCATTAATTTCTATTTGTTCAAAAAATAAAATTAATAAAAATTCGCTTTTTTTTTAAATCTAATAATCGTTTTTGTTTTTTTCTCAATTTTTCTTTTTTTTTGCTGTTCAATTAATAATTACTTGTATCTCTGATGTTAAACTTACTTACTGCCTCTAATTTCATATGCCATAAGTAATGATACAAAAATTTTAAAACTGTTTTGTTCATTTTTTTTTTCAACTTTTTTTTGATTTTGCTATGACAATGAAACTGTCATTGAACTTTTGAAATATACAAAAATAAATCATCAATTCTACACTGTCATTAACATATTTCAATATTTTTTTGTTTGATTTAATGTTAAAAACACACAAACAAAAAAAAAAAAATTTATTATTTTTCATTTTCACAAAAAGAAAAAAAAACGAATAGAATTTAAAAATAACAAAAATAAACATTTCAAATTAATTATAGCAAATAAAATACAGTTCAAAGTTACTTGAACTCATCTGATCTGATCATCAAATTGATCAATATCATTAATCATTGCTGTTTATCAAACTTTTCAGATCAACCGATACATGTAGGAATGGTAATGGATTGAAACCAGACTGGAAATTAAATTAAATATTTTAAAATTTTATTTTCGAAAAAAAAAATGAGATGACAACTGATATATAAATTTGTTAGCTTTTCTAACATTTGCAGCTTATCAATAAATCACATAAATTTTTTTCAAAATTCTAACTTTTACTTAATAAAACTTAAATAATTTAAACAATTTTTTACTTTACCTCTTTTATTTAATAAAAAAAAAAAATCAAATAAAAATATTTCACTTTTTAGCAATTATATTTATATATATTTTTTTTTAATTTTTCAAACTCTTTTTACTTCATTTTTTAGCTCATTTTATATTTGCTCAAACTTTTAAGTTTCTTTTGTTTCTCTTTTTTCAATAATTAAATTTTTGATAAAATTATTTTTAAAGAAAACCTGGTCAAAAAGTATATCGGCGCAAAAATCTCCTTTACAGCAACACGTAAGTTGTTGAAGGATAGGAAATTTTCGATAGAATAAATTATTTCTTAGACATACTGGTCGTCCATCTTTATATTTCTTACAATGTTGTGATAAACGTAATGGATTATCAACTAAAAAAAAAAAATTTTTATTTCATTTAATTAATCAAATAATCATTAAAAAAAATAAATAATTAATTAATTTAAAATTTTTTGTATATTTTATTAATTCACTTTTTTTTTTTTTTAAGATTAATAATTAAAATTAGCATATATTATCGTTTGTTTTGTTTTGTTTTTTTTTCTTTTGTTTATTTGTTCAATTTGAATAATTAAGATCAAAAATTATTGTATTACTTAAGTTTCACTCATTTTCATATGATAATTTAATGATTACTTGTTATATTATTTATTATTTTACTCAATTCTAAATAATAATTTATCAAATTAAAAATTAAACAATTCAATTTAAATAATCTCTTTGCTAATTTTGATTCATTTCCTTTATTGAATAAAATTTTAAGAAATAATAAAATTAATTTCAAAAAAAAAAATTGAGAGCAGATGATTACCTCTAAAATCAAATAAATAATTAGCATATTTTTTATTATTTCCAAGCCATTTTTGTGGCGCAACAAATTTTCCTGTCTGAAAAAAAAAAAAAAAAGAAATTAAAAACAAATATTTGAATAAATGAAAAATTATTTTCTACGATAAAATGTTTACATTTGAGTATTCATTGAAACCAAAACAAAAATTAAAACTTAAATTTGTGAGAATATAATTTAAAAAAAAAAAAAAATTGTCAATAAATTATAATAATAATAATAATTTAAAGAATATAAAAATGACAAACACTATCGTCCATACAACCCAAAATGAGATGACTATTTGGCAGTGCCATTAAAACACACGAACTATTGTTATGATTGCATGGATGGGTATTTAAATCCATTAAATCTTCACAAGTTAAATTTTCTGCTATCTAAAATAATTTATAGAAAATTAAAATGTTCAAATTTGAAATGAATTTAATTATTTTAATTCTTTGAATTCTGTTTATTATTTTTATTAGTTTTAGGTTATTTAATTATTGTTTCCACTTTTTTCATCGTTTTTTTTTTTTTTTTTTTTAAATTTAATTATTGATTTTAGTTCTTTTTTTTAAATTTTTGATTCTACTTTTTTTGTCGTTTTTTAAGTATTTCTTTTTATAACTTTTATGGAATAAACTTTTATATGCTACTTTTGCCTAATTCATTTTTAAATAAGTTTTTTTTTTTTTTAGAATTTTGGTTGTATTTAGTGGTTGTTGGTAAATAATGAAAATTCTAATAGTGAAATGAAATATTTTAATTTAAAATTAATTAAATTAAAAAAAAATTTTATATATTATGTATATTTTAATTTAAAATTAATTAAATTAAAAGGAAATTTCATATACTATGTATATTTTAATTTATAATTAATTAAATTAAAAAGAAATTTCACATATTCTGCATATTTTAATTTAAAATCAGTTAAATTAAGAAGAAATTTCATATATTATGTATGTTTTAATTTAAAATTAATTAAATTATAAATAAAAAAGAAAAATTCAAACCTTACTTCGCCAATTTCCATATTCATGAGCCATAATTTTAATGAGTGGACAAAGAAAACCTGGAAATGGTACTCCATCATGATCATAACAAGCAATATTTATCAAATTTGCTGCATTTTTTTCCTCAATTTCATTTCCAGGAACGATTACCTTAAAAAAAATTTAATTTTTAATTTGAATTTAATCAAATTTTTTTTTATGAACTTTAAGATTTAAAATGAAAAAACAATTTTTAATCCTTAAAATTAAATTTATCTTTCTTTAGAATTAGATTTATCTTTAGAATTAATTCTTTGGAATCAAATTTAGTGTTCAGATTAAATTTTGTAATTGAATTTGGATAAATTAATTTATTTACCATTAGTAAACATTTTTAAATTATAATTAAAAAACAATATCTTCCTATAAACATCATGTTGAAAAATGATTTTCCTTGAAATAATAAAAGAAATATAGGGTAATACATTGTAAAATAGATTTATGAAATTAAAAAAAAAAAAAAATGAAGGATTGAAAATTCTGAGAAAGAAACTGAGAAATAAATAAAAATTTTAATATTTGAAAATTTGACAAAAAAATTTCTCATTAAGCAAAAAAGCATAAATTTATTAATAAAATGTTATTCTGCTCTAATAATAAACAACATTTATCATAAAATATCACAAATTTAATCTTTATTAACAAAAATTTATAAAAATATCAGCCAGAAAATTCAAGCAAGAACTTAATTACTAAATATTAATTGCTAGATACTTAATTATCAAATATCAAATATCAAAAATTACTAGTTCCACTTAATTGTACAATTAAGTTACTACCAATATATTTTTAAACATTTATCATAAAAAAAAAAACATAAACTTGTAATCTTTTCAGTCTGGTAACTTTTGACATTTTCAAAAAATTACTCTTCAGAAATTTGTTAAAATTAAATTTTAACCTCATCAAAATTTGATTCATCATCAATATATGTATTCAATATCTGTCTATCACTTATAATTTTCAATAGTTTCTGAAAGCAAAAAAAAAAAAAAAAATTTAACATTTTGTACTTTAAAATTAAAATTTCTTTTTAAATTTTTAAAATTAAAATTTAAATTTAAAAAAAAGAAAAGGAAAGAAAAGAAGGAAAGAATTATTATTACTGGAAATTTATAAAAGCCATATTTCATACGTCGAAATGCAAGTATATTTCTCATTAGCAAATTTGTTTCATTTATATTACTCTATAAAAAGTTTTTTTTATTTAATTAAAATTGAAAAAATGAATTAATGAAATTTTGAAAATTTAAGTACTCATTAAATTTTGTATTATATGTATTAATAAATTTAAAGAAATATCGGTTTTATCAAATTTAATAAAATAAGGTGATAGTAATTTAAGATTAAGTTGAAAAATTGATGTCTAAATTTTAATTTTAAATGAAATTAGAAAAAATTTTCTTAAAATAATTCCTCTAATATTTTATTTCTTATTATAGCTCCAGATATATTTAAATGTTAATTTTTAATTTTTTTTTTTCTGAAAAATATTTGAAAATTTTGGAAGAAAAAAATTATAAAAAAAAAAAATTGTTCAACCAATAATTCTTCTGCTATAATATCAATTGAACAAACAAACAGCAATACAAATAAACCGCACGAAAACATTCAAATTATATAAAGTGATAATAATTTAATAAAATTTTAATTATAAATATAAAATAAAAAAAATAAAAATTTCAATTTTTGAAAAAAAAAATTTTCAAATATATTTTTGGATAACTTTTTTATACCAAAAATTTTTAAATTATTTAAGTAAATTTTGTGGAATAATTTTTTTTTTTGTTTTTGATGTAGTAATTATGTGTGAAAAGAATGCAAATTATTATAAATTTTATTATCACACAAAAAAAATATATTAATCAATTTGCTTTTTTTTTTAAATTTTCACAAATAAAAGAAACTTTTATTTATACTTCTATTCAGCATCAGATTTAGTTTCCAGAAATATTTGAATACATAAAATAAGAATTACAATAATTAATGCAATAATAATTGTACCCTTAGCTTCCATATAAAATCCTGTTGAACGTTCCGAAGTACTACTGGTCGATGACAGCTGACGCTTATTTACACTATAAAATTTAAATTTATTCAAAATAAAAAAAACATTAATTAATTAATAAATATTAATAATTAATAATATTATTAATTTGTTAGCTACAATTATTAATTATTCTTCAGCAATTTACTTTTTTAAATTATTATAATTATTATTATGAGAATAATCTAAATAAACAGTATGATAATCTGATAAAATACATTTTAATATTTGCTTAATATTTTGAATAAATTCCAATCAGCGATACAATTTGTAATAATTTAGTTTTCTATTTTGTTTGAATTTTTTTTTTTTGAAATTTTAAAACTTTTCATTTTAATTTAAACAAATGATTGCTAATGATAAACATTTAATCTACGATGGAAGCAAATATTTTAAATAATTACAGGTAAATTTACGTCATAAGATTTTTTGATGATATTTGAGATGTATTTGATAAATGTTTTAATCCTGTAATTGGAGTAATTATTCTCGATTCTACACCTGAACTTCGAGGTACCACTGAATCAAGAGAACTTTTAAAGGTAATATGTTCTTCAGGTGGTTTCGTACTATTACACATTGCTGATGATGATATGCGACCTGAATTAAAAAAAAAATACTTTAACTTTTGTATTATTTGTTAATTTTTTTAAATTAAATATATTTCATCTCTAAAATTCATTTCAAATAGATTATCATTTAGCAGTAGTATTTCTTACTGAAATATATTTTATAAAAATTGTAGTATGGTATAAGGTTAATTAATTTATGTACGATTATTAAGTAACAAATTGAACTCGAAATAATATTTTTTTTTTTTTATGCAATCATTCAATTTAATTTGTGAAACAATCATCACATTAATTTATTAATTTTTAAATTACTATACAATAAAATTATTATACCATCTTTTTGTTTTTGTTTTTATTTTTTTTTTTGGATGATTTAAATTATTAAATGAAATTCTTGAAATAATTTAAAAGCTATTATCGTACATTTAATTCTTGTAACTGTATGCTCGTTTATATTTGGATCATCAGAACCTTCAAATTCTGTAATCATTAACAATGAAGTTGATTTCATATCTTTCCAATTGTTTATTTCAGGTGCTCGTCGCCATGTTAATAAACAACAATTAAATCCATGAGCTGGTATTGTACCAGAAGCATGTGGTTCAGCCTAAAATAAACTAAAATTTGTAGAAATTTAATTACTGAATGTAGTAACATGCAAATAGAATTAAAATTTGAAAGCAAAGAATAAACAATTACTGTAATTAATGCTTTTGTTTCACATTTAAATTTGTATATAATTGGTCGATCATTTACATTATACAAAATAAGTTTTACACGAGCTGCATTAGGTATATCAATAATAGGCAAAAATTTTGTCGAGATTACTCTGAAAAAAAAAAACTTTAAATTAATCACTAAAAGAGATAAAAAAAAAAAGAAAAAGAAACAAACAAACAAAGGAGAAATTAATTTTGAGAGATATTAAAGTGAAAATTTAGAAGTGAAATAATTTGAATGAAAATTAAAAATAGATCAATCAAATTTTTATTTCTTTCAACTTTTACTCTTTACTTTTATTGTTGATCAAAAAAAGTATCGCAAAAAATAAAAGAGAAACTTTTGAAAATTCAAATTTTTGCTTAATTTGAAAATTCTTATGGAAACACTGACCTATCATATAGTAATGGTCGTTCATCATCTTTTAATCGCATTCTTTTTTTTTTTGTTTGTTTTTCAAAATCACTCAGGAAAAAAGGCTAAAATTTAATGAAATTTTTTACCATTACTTACTGTAATTTGTTGTGACAAAAAAGTGAATTTACTATTTCCGGAAAATTTCCGGACGAATTCTACACGGTTATACATTGAATAAATTTGCGCAATAAATTTAAGATTTTTTTTTTTAGTAAAATTTTAGATGAGAAAGCGAACAATTTCAAATGAAATCGAAGTAAAAACTTATAAATTGAAAGATTAAAAAACAAATACCGTCTGCGATTAAATAACGATAAACAATAATCGTAATTATACGAAAAAAAAAAATTTATTTTTATAACTCAGACAAAAAGAAAAAAAAATTTTTATTCGCAGTATGTAAATTTAAGAGTTTTTTATATTTTACAAAAATTTAAGAAAGATTTAATTTTTGCATTGCAAAAAAACCGTGACGACACCTAAATCTATAATAACTTTCTAATAGATTTGTCATTTAACAAAATTTGATTGCTTTACACAATTTATTTTTACTGCCAGTTTATCTAAAAATTAAAAAATTTTTCAATTAGAAAAATGGATTTTTGTTAAAAGTTGATAAGAAATAAAAATATATGTTTATCCTTTCAGTGATAAGAGTTGATAAGTGGACAGAAATATATGTTTATCTTTACTTTAAAAGTTGATAAGGTACTTCCATGTATTCAAGTGATAAGAGTTGATAAGAAATAAAAATATATGTTTATCCTTTCAGTGATAAGAGTTGATAAGTGGACAGAAATATATGTTTATCTTTACTTTAAAAGTTGATAAGGTACTTCCATGTATTCAAGTGATAAGAGTTGATAAGAAATAAAAATATATGTTTATCTTTACTTTAAAAGTTGATAAGGTACTTCCATATATTCAAGTGATAAGAGTTGATAAGAAATAAAAATATATGTTTATCCTTTCAGTGATAAGAGTTGATAAGTGGACAGAAATATATGTTTATCTTTACTTTAAAAGTTGATAAGGTACTTCCATGTATTCAAGTGATAAGAGTTGATAAGAAATAAAAATATATGTTTATCTTTACTTTAAAAGTTGATAAGGTACTTCCATATATTCAAGTGATAAGAGTTGATAAGAAATAAAAATATATGTTTATCCTTTCAGTGATAAGAGTTGATAAGTGGACAGAAATATATGTTTATCTTTACTTTAAAAGTTGATAAGGTACTTCCATGTATTCAAGTGATAAGAGTTGGTAAGTGAATAAAAATATATGTTTATCTTTATTTTAAAAGTTGATAAGGTACTTCCATGTATTCAAGTGATAAGAGTTGATAAGTGAATAAAAATATGTTTATCTTTTCATTGATAAGAGCTGGTAAGTGAATAAAAATGCATATTTATCTTTTCAGTGATAAGAGCTGATAAGGAATAAAAGTACTCAAAATTTATCTTTTTAGTGATTTTTCATATGTTTTACATTCTAATTATCCAAAAAAAAGTTATTCTTGACTTGCTATTTGTCAAACTTTATCGTACAGTAATAATAACTTTGTTATACAGAACCAATATGCAAATGTTAAAAAATTTTCAAACCTCAGCTATTAGAAATTAATTTTCATTATTTTCGATTATTTTAAGCTTTTCAATCTTCACATACCAAAATACCAATTCATTTATTTCAAGTATTTTCATTATTCAAATTTTATGATCGTTAAAAAAATAAATTTTCGGGTAGTAGAAAATACTTGATATACAAATGAGTTTTAGATTAAGACACAAAGGTATAGGATGTGAGTGAAGAATTTATATTAATTTTATGGTTTTGGCATGATCGAAATGGATTCCTAATCAATATAGGTTAACTTTTTTTTTTTTTATAAAAAGATTCGTTATCTTATGATCTTATAGTAAGTTGTTTTATACAGGTACTGATAGTGAAATTACATAGAAATATCAAAATTTTTTTATCAAACATTACAGTAATATAATAAATAACTTATTATAACGAAATGCAAACGAGAATTAATGAGGAAGTAGAATTAGTTTTTTTTTTTTGGAAAATGATAAATTGTTTAGGTTTACATAATGTATAAACATACTTATCAAAATAAGAATGCTTCCTATTTTGATAAACATTCTATCGGATACAAAGATAGCTATAGGAATGTTAAGAGATATCTGATATGACTGATACTGACCTGTAATATATCAATCATAATGAGCAAATATGAATAGGAAAAGATGGGAATTTATTAAGATTCAAGATGAACAAAAGAAAAAGCATGAGAAACTAGCATAGATGAGGAATGAAGGATGAGAAATTAGTTAAATGATTAGTCGTAATACAAATTGAAAATATAAAACAATAATTTTATGTGCTAATTTTTACATAAAATTATTTTATAAGTTATTTCGAGGTTTGCGCTATCTGAAATTTGCGACACGAATATTCACAAAATCTTATACTATTAACGATCGGACTATTTAGCAAAAAAGTGGCTTTAATAAAATTTTAAAAAAGGGATCATAATTAAATTCACTGAAATCAAAAAATGAGTGGTAACGACTGAATTTAAGTGAAATGAGCAAACCAGAACCGAAATTTAAAAAAAAAAAAAAAACAAGTATTAGGTGAGCAAATATGCAAAAAAACGTCGACATTAGAAAAGATAAAATTCAACATTAAAAATAGAAAGTAATAAGATTAATGACAGATAACTAATGAAAATAATTGATATGAATTAGAACATACGGATCAATGAGAGTAATAAAATGATTTAGCAGTATTTGGCGGGAGTAGAAAAGACAAGGTGTAAATGAGGATCAGTTGAAATAAAAATTGGAATGTTTTCTGATCTATTATTTTCGGATATACACATCCGGAAGCAATAGATCAAACAAAATGTTCAATTGAAAACATGAGTATAAAAAGCACCATTTAAGTGAAAAATTTGCAGGAAATGCATCAAACACGTTACAAAAAAATATCAAAGAACACGTCAGATAAGGAAGTCACTGTAACAAAGATAATAAAAAAAAATGAGAACTGAAATATAGATAAAAAAAATGCAAATATGTTTGCGCATTATATAATAATAAATAGTCTCCATCACTGAGTTCAAAAGAATATTTGATTTAAAACCTGAATACAGAGTAATTATTAGCAATAGCAGAGTATGTAACTGCAGTTAAAATACATGAAGGCAACATTTATAGAGAAATTAAAGCAATTTAAGAACTAAATAAGAATAAGTTTGCGATTATGAATTTTCAAGATTTCAATTGTGAAATATTCATAACTGTACTAAAGGTATTCTGGTATATATACTTTAATATCAAAGAAAACATATTGAAATTTTGAGTTTTCACATGAAAATACAGCTATCAGTCCAATTTTTAGTAGCATTGTTTGATTCCTTCCGCACAATTACACCATTATCGGATTCATTGATACAGCAATTATTACTGCTATTATGTAAGCCACTCTCAATATACTGTACAGTTAGTCCATTTTGTAAATTGCATTCCTCGTAAGTTATTTTTTGGAATAAATATGGACGAAGATCTATGTAAGAGTGAATACGCTGCATGAAATTCGAGTCCATACGTCGATTGCCTAACAAAAATGAAGAAACATTTGGACGAATGAATAAGCGAAGGCGATCCTGAAATAAGATAAAGTAATAATTAATTCTAGAATATTCGCAAATTACTGCGGTTCTTTCTCATTTGTATTACATTCACTGATAAACATTGTCACAGCGTCATTCATCAATTACTAAAATGTAATCACATTGAATTTGAAGTTCAGTCATTTAAAATTTAATATCAAACTGTTTATCACACTTTAATTATGCAGTGTATGAATTGTTTATTCATTTATTCCATATAATGCTTGAAAAAGATTTTACAATATGCTTTCACCAGAAAAAGCTGGATAATTTATAAAAAAAAAAAAGGTACTCTACCTCAATCGCTTGATGATTAACCGTGACACAAAGAAATGAATACATGATACGATTAATGTGGAAATCATACATGAATGGCATATCATTATCAACTTTACCATCCAAATCAGCAATTCTTTTACCCAATAATGATGATTTTACTAATGGTTCTAATTCTTGCAACGCAGTATACAAAATATTTTGGTTTCCAGATATATCAAACGGAATACATAATGAAACGAGCTGAAATAAAAGAAATCATATGCAAAAATCAACTAAGCGCATAATCAACAAGTTATCAGGAGAAATTTGAAGACAGGATGTCTTAATATGATCTAGGCATGAATCATGCAAGCATTCTTGACAAATAATTCTTTAAAGAATTACCTCTAGCGGTATCCATTGATCATAGCCAAAAATAATAAATGTTTCCATAATTATTTTTTGGCGTCTAGTTAACTGAAATAATATGCATTTAGCTAAGTTTGTCAAAATAACTCTTAGATATGACGCAGGAACACTTCACTTATCAAAAATGAAATGTCACAAACAAAACATTTGGCATGAATATATTTTGTATAAAAGTTATAACTGCCTTTGCACTAGATGGTTTTAGATATAGCAAAATGCTGTCATTAGTTTAATTTAATTGAGATATTCTTTTCAGGAACTTAGTCAACAGTTCTGGAAAGCTGGAGAAAGAAAGGTATAAAGAAGGACGTTACATTTTATGAACAAATTAGCAATACCAAATAAACTATTAAAGAAGTGATTGCAATTAAGTAAATATGATTGAAATTTCTAGATTTTAAAATCAAAATCTTCCAATAACTTAAGTTTTTGTTGGTGACATCAGAAATCCTTTATTGAATATTACTTTTTTTTCTGCTCTGTAGTACAGAAAAATACGTATACTATTGAGCATCTTCTAAAAAATCTAAATGGAACGAGATAAAAAACATACTTCCTATTAAATTTTATTTTAACGACCAGAAATTAGCACTATAACTTGATAAGATTAAACACTAAAATACTCTAGAATTAAAATTAAAGAA